TTTGTTATTAGAACGTTCGTGGGTTCTAAGCACATCTCGTGGTAGGCCTCCAGGAATGCGGGGACGGTCGGTCCCTGCTCAAAACATTGATTTTCTCGTCGACTACGAAAGATGCGCTGACATCTCCGTAGATCTATGGAACTGTCTACGAATTTGCCGTATGTTCGCCGGAAAATCAAGTTGGGAGTACATCGAGTATGCAAGTAGTCGGTACCCTACTCGACGCCTCCAGGCCGGGCGGGTCCCACTGGCGTGACGGTTTGCGCATGGATTGTTGTTCTCGCGCTTCGGGGGGGCTCGCCGGCTCGCCCCCCGCGCTTCGGCCAGCTGGAAGAAAGAGAAAGGCATCCGACTCGCTGCAGGCCAGCTTGACTGGCAGGTCGAACCTGCCAAATCAAGGCTACCCTCGTGTCCTGCGGTTCGCATTCCATGCCTTCTGCATTCCTGTGGCGGGCTGGCCCTCGGAGGGGTCTTCCTCCTCCTCCCTCCTCCTCCTCCTCCTCCTCCTCCTCCTCCTCCTCCTCGTCCTCCTCCTCCTCCTTGTCCTCCTCCTCCTCCTCCTCCTCCTCCTCCTTGTCTCCTCTTCCTCCTCCTTGTCCTCCTCGTACCCTGTCGCGCGCCTTCGCACCACTCCGACTGCGTTCCTGTCCCGCCCACCGCCCCAGTGGCGGCTTCTGTCTTGCCTTCACGGGAGGCCGCCCTCCTCTCCATGGCCGCTCTCCCCCCGTGGATTCGACGGCCTGCCTTGGACGACGACAACGACGACGACGACGACGACGACGACGACGACGACGACGACGACGACGACGACGACGACGACGACGACGACGACGACGACGACGACGACGACGACGACGACGACGACGACGACGACGACGACGACGACGACGACGACGACGACGACGACGACGACGACGACGACGACGACGACGACGACGACGACGACGACGACGACGACGACGACGCCGACGCCGACGCCGACGCCGACGCCGACGCCGACGCCGACGCCGACGCCGACGCGCGCGCACAGGCGGCCCCGCGGAGGGCGGCGGCCGCGGCGCCTCCCCGCGGGCGGCCCGCGCGGGTCGCCGTCCCGCGACCGGGGCGCCCCGCCCCGGAGGCCGCCCCGCGCGGGGCTGGCCGGTGCCGGCCGGTGGCCCCCGCCGGCCGGGGCGGGCGCGCGCGCGGGCGCGGCGGCCACGGCGCGGTGGCGGCGCGGCGGCGGCGCGGCGGCGGCGTCGGCGGCGGCGGCGTCGTCGCCGTCGTCGTCGTCGCCGTCGTCGTCGTCGTCGGCGGCGTCGTCGTCGTCGTCGTCGTCGTCGTCGTCGTCGTCGTCCAAGGCAGGCCATCGAATCCACGTCCAGCCGCCGTCGTCGTCGCAGCCGCCGCCGCGGCCTCGGCGGCGGCGGCTGCGCGGCGGCGGCGGCGGTGATGGCGGCGGCGGCGGCGACGGCCCTCCGTTGGCCCCGGGTGGGAGGGGGGGCTTTCCTCGCGCGGCCCGCAGCGGCATCGGGGGAGGCAGCCTGAGGTGTCGGCGGCGCGCGAGAGGGTGGCCCAGAGTGGTCCGATGCTCGCCCTGGGGTCCAGGCTCGGGGCCCCGCGGCCCGAGGACGGCCCCCAGGGAGCCGACCTCGAGGGACGGCCCCCGGAGGAAGAGCAGCACAGCCTCTCGTTGCAGGTCTGGGCCCCGGGGCCAGGATCGGCCACGCGCAGGAGGGGGGGGGCGTGGGGGGAGGGGGGAAGGCTTCTTGGATGGAGGCGGCCTCTTAGAAGGCGCATGCCTCAGCTGTAGGTGTGGAGCTGGCGCCCTCTGGGAAGCAGCCTCCTTCCAAGAAGCCTTCCCTCCCTCCCCACGCCCCGTGTGCGCGCTGTCAGAGGTGGCCGGCCCGCAGAGGAGCGAGGAGGCGAGGAGGAAGGCCGGCTGGCTCTCGGGGCCTGCGGGATCCACCAAGTCCAGACGCTTCGCGTAACCCCTCCAGTCCGCGCCCGTCCCGCTTCTTGGATCTGTCCCTGGAGCCGTCAATCAAAACGTATCCCCTCCAGCCCATCTACCGGGACGATCGGAAATTGTGTTCAAATAGTGGTCGATGATCATCAGGGCGTGTGTTAGCCCAATGTGTGTTTGCCCTGCTCGACTCCGCCGATAGCACGCCGCCCGTTTCGGCCCTCATTACAGCGCCTGCGTCGTGTCGTAGGGCCTCGGTGGACACGCACACGTCGGCATTAACACACGTTCTGAGGATCATCGAATTGGGTACATCGACCGACAGTATGTCCTGTTCCTTCTGAACGGGATCCGCTGTCGTTGTCGCCGCGGGCGGTGCCCACTTGACACAGAAGGCCGCCTGCCCAACTGCGGCCGCAATTGGTTTTGGACAACATGTTTGTTGGGCGTCGAACCCGCTTTTTCCGTACCCATTCCGGCGACCAAAATCCAGAAACGATGCCCAGGCGAGTTGTTTTGATGAGACATGTGAGGAAGCACGCAGTGGAATACAGGTTGGGAAGCCGTCATAGCCGAAGAGGGGGAGGATGGAAGAGGAGCCATAGGAGGAGGAGGAGGAGGAGGAGGAGGAGGAGGAGGAGGAGGAGGAGGAGGAGGAGGATAGGAGGAGAGGAGGAGGAGGAGGAGGAGGAGGGAGGAGGCAGAGGAGCGACGGATGGATAGGCGGGAGGATAGGGAGGAGGAGGATAGGGAGGAGGACGGAGGAGGAGGAGGAAGGGAGGAGGAGGAGGAGGAAGGAGAGGAGGAGAGGAGGCGGAGGAGGAGGAGGATAGGAGGAGGAGGATAGGAGGAGGGAGATAGGAAGGACGATGAGGAGGAGGAGGAGGAGGAGGAGGAGGAGGAGGAGGATGAGGAGGGGGAAGAGGAGGAGGAGGAGGAGGAGGAGGAGGAGGAGGAGGAGGAGGACGGACAGGAGGAGGAGGGGCGGAGGAGGAGGAGGGGAGGCGGAGGAGGAGGAGGAGGAGGAGGATAGGGACAAGGAGGAGGAGGAGGAGGAGGAGGAGGAGGAGGAGGAGGAGGAGGAGGAGGGAGGAGGGAGGAGGGAGGAGGGAGGTAGATAGGTAGGTGCGCTCCCTTTGAGCTGGCGGCGGAGGCGTCGGACGGCGCTTCCTTTTAGCAAGGAGCCACGACCCGGAGAGGGTTCGGAAGCGACCTTGCTGCGACGGCTCTGGAAGACAAAGCGCTAGCACTGGAGGGAACGGGGGAGGGTAGGCGAAAGCTTTAGCTCTCGGGGGGCCTGGGCGGAATGCTTGGGTCGGCGCTGGACCCCCCCCCCCCCAGCGCTCAAAACGAGCCCGGGGAGCGGCGCCAAGGCGCCGGGGGGGGGGGCACAGCCCCTACCCAGGGACACCCCCCCCAGCCACCGAAGGACGTCGCAGCTCCAGCCAACACCTCCGCCCTGAGCCTCAGCCAGAGCGAAGCAGCAGAGGCAACTCAGAGACTCCCCGCAACATGGGGGGGGGCCAGGCAGGGAGCACCTGCCTGGAGCTCGTCCGATCCCCACTACACTGCCTGGTCGACGCACCCCGCAGGTGCGGGACGGTGACAGGAAGGGGGAGAGGGAGCCACCCCGAGGGGGGGGGAAGGGGGCCCAGCCCGACCCGGCCAGCCTGCCAGGGGCCCACAGGGAGAGGAATACCGCTCCCGCTGCACCCCAGGGCAGGACCAGAGCTCCGAGGAGAATCCAGCCGTGGCGACAAAGGGACCCCCGAACAAGCAGCGGTCAGGGTACCTTCCCCCAGAAGCGCCAGGCAGAGGGGAGGGAGGGCGGGAGGGGGCGAGATCGGAAGGGGAGAGAAAACCACCCCAGAGAGGAGGAGAAAGGGAGAGAGGACGGGGCGAAGAGAGAGGCCCATCCCGGCCCGACCCGACACGACCACCCGGGCTCCCGGGCGGAAGGCGGGAGGGAAAGAGGGAGAAAGGGAAGGAGAGAGGGAAGGAGAGGGGCGAGCGGGGGAGGGCTCTGCTGGCGACCGCCCAGAAACGATCCGCCTCCTTCTCAACGTGGAGCGCCATCAGCGCCGCCTCGTTGTACCCGGCGTCCGCCGGAGCTGCCGACAAGATCGCCGTGGCCGCAGCTTCCCTGGTGGACGGGATCCCGCCGCCGCGGGCCTTCCAGAAAGTGCGCCTGCATCCATCAGTGTTTTTGCAATTACCCAAAACATGAAAAGTGGGACTCAGAACCTGCTCCCCGCAGAGGACGCAAGCCTGCCTCCGCGCCGAAGAGAGGGAGCCAGCGGAGTGGCTGAGCGCAACCAGCCGCCCACGGAGCCTGCTCAGCGAGCGCTGGCCCAGCAGGAACGGAAGAGGAGGAGAGGCAGGAGGAGGAGGAGGAGGAGGAGGAGGAGGAGGAGGAGGAGGAGGAGGAGATTGGGACAAGGATGGTAGGAGGGAGGAGGGAGGAGTGGAGGAGGATGAGGTGGGAGGGGGAGGAGGGAGGAGGGAGGAGGGAGGAGGAGGAGTAAGAGGAAGAGGAGGAGGAGGAGGAGGAGGAGGAGGAGGAGGAGGAGGAGAGTCCGTAGCCATTTTGGCTCAAGCTGGTCTCAAACCCTCTGCTCGCCATTTTCGCATCGCGCATGGCCAGTGTCTGGAGGCGGCGCTGCCGGAGTGTTTGAGACCCTTGAGATGGCTCGGGAGGGCGCGGATGCGCGCCCAGAGTATCGATCTGCCCAGTCTCGGAAGCTCGTCCGCGAGCAGGCCAGGTTTTCAGCAGATGGCGCCCTCCGCCGCCTGTCTGGTGAAGTGTACGCTCTGCAGGCCGAGTTACAGTCTCTGCACGGCTGCCTGGAGGAGGTGTTTGGGGATGCCGAGCTTGCGGACCGCATCCTTGCTCTCACTCTTGCTTTTCGGGGGCCCTCCTCCACGGTATTACACCTGGTCGTGAAGCAGTGATACGTCGGAATGTCGCCCTCCACGCGGACGCGAAGGGCTGTAGTGGCAGTTGCACACGGCGGTTTTCTTCGTCGTGATGCTGCCGAGCTCCTTCCTGGGGCAGGTCGCTGGTTCCCGCTCAGGGAGTGCCCAGGCCCCACCGGCCTCCGATGCATATGCGGCTCGCTGGCTTTCTCATCCGTGCCCATCGGCGCGACCTGCTTCGTGAAGCACCCGGTGCGGAAGGCTCGGAAGCCAGAGGAGCAGCCTGGCGTCGGGCGTCAGCGCCCGCTGCTGCAGACGGTGGCGCAATTCGGGCCCCTGCGGGAGATGGCTGCCCTGATGCTGAGGCCGCCGCTGCGGTGCGAGACGTAGATCGCAAGTGCATAGGCGAGCGCATCGCGGAGCTGGAGTAGTTGACGGCCTCGACCACCCGTTATTTTGTTCGGCGGTTGGCACGGCTCCACAAGGATGGCAGTGTTGGCCAAGACCTCCAAGTGCCAGCGCCCGTCGGCGAGAGCGGCGGAGTGCGCATGCAGTGCGCGGATGGACCCGTGCTGACCAGGGAAGCGAACCAGTGCCGGTATCCGATGTGCTGTCTGGATTGTGGTCGCGAGATGCCAGACCGCGTAGACATGTTCTGTGCGCGTCGGAAGATAGCGATGATTTCTTCTGTGCGAGATGTGTGCGTCCCGAATTTCACCATCGCTGTGCCGTGCCATTGCATGCATGAGCTGGGGGGTGCGGCGCATTCACATCTCACCCTGCCCTCCTGGTGCTTTTGCTTTTGTTTTTCCTCTTCTTCTGTGTCGGCATGGGAAAGGAGAGGCGAGGAGGAGGAGGAGGAGGAGGACGAGGAGGAAGAGGAGGAGGAGGAGGAAGAGGAGGCGGA